GGCCAATTCTAAATAAAATCGATGGAGTCCTTCAAAAAAAAAAAAAAACTCAGGAAGACGAAAATTTTTGAATGACACTCTTACGGAACTAAAGATCATTTCTTGGTTTAACATTTCCACAACTTTCGTTTACTAAGGGATTGTATGCCAATATAATCATTTCTAGTAATAAATTTCATATATATTTGTAGTCAACTTCTGGCCTGGATTAATAATTTCTTTAACCGCATATATAAAACCTAATTTGATCGATCAGCCGAAGACCTAAGCGACATAGAGAAAATGATCTAAACTAACGTGATCTTCCATTTACTTTATTCTGGTGCAAAATAGTTTATATTCACGTTCTTTCATTTTTTTTTTTTTCTTTTAACCTGCCTTGCTGGACCCTCTCGAGACCTAAATGATATAGAGGCAATGGTTCTTCATCTTGAATCCTGCTTTCTCTACCGCCTCTCCCTTTCTTACTTGCGGTTCAGAAGAACTTAAGTTAAGCCTTGACAGATCGATTCAGAAAGTGATTCTGAGCATGTCTGTCCGTCTCTCCGCCTTGTTTTCTTATATTCAACTTATAGTCGGCAATTTTTTAGATATTTTGATGAAATTTGGTACATTGACATGTTGCGATCGAAGGGCGAAAGCTACTAAAAATGCGTAGGCGTTTTATTTGGAAAAGTCGTTATATGAACAACTTTAGGGTGGGTAGGATACAGATGTAGACATCGATGGCCATTATTTTAGCTATTGTTGTACATAAGAGATTTTCGTTCCCGGATCCGGAGGACACTTTGCAACTTTTCTTTTGGATGCGATTTTTTTTCTATATCGAAAGTGTTTACATTTGACTGACACGGCGTACAAAGCAAAATATATTCGGAAAAATTCTATTGAACGAGGGAAACCCCAATGAACGTTAAATCTGCCTGAGTAGTCTCAGGATAGTTGCGTCTCTTCTAATATGCAAGCACTTGGGAAGTGTTTTCTTCTTCTTTTTTTCTAATGAAGTTTTTTTTTGCTTTCGCTTTTGTGAAATTTTTTTGTAGCCCATGACTGTGATGCAAATTTCACTTTTGTTACAATCTTTTTACGGTTGATTGTTGCTCTACCCTAAAAAACTTTAAGTGATATTTCTTTTTTGGGAAGTTTCTCAACAGAAGGAAGAAGACAGGTGGGCTTATATGCTTTTCACTCACTCAGCGAATGATTTTTATTTCAAATTTTATATGAAAATTTCCACTAACCACTATACTGAAAAGTTGTTCTTTCTCTCTAAAGAGAATAGGACAAACAAGGAGAGAGACAGAAAAAGAGAGAGAGAGAGAGAGATTAAGAGAGATTTTTTTTTGATTTTAAGTATATTTCTATAATTTTTTACCTAATTGTTGCTGTTGTTTATTCGAATCATCTATGGTGGTGCTTGTCGTGGTAATGGCATTGGCATCTGTATCTTTATTGCCATTAGTGGTGGTGTTGTTATTGGTGATGGTAGTGGTGGTGGTAGTGGTGGTGGCGGTGGCGGTGGCGGTGCTAGTCATGTTGTTGTTGCTATTTGTGGTAGTAACTAAACAATTCTCGCCATTTGTTGTTTGTTTATTGCTATTACCGTTAAGATTGAGCTCGAATGATGAGATACTGCTAAGAGAAGCTGTTGTTCCTACAGACACTGTATTTGACGTTCCGGTTGAGACTTTTGATGTTGTTGCTGTTATTGTTGCTAATGTGGTTATTGTTGTTGTTGCCATCGTTGAATTAACATTACTCAGATTAAGGTCATTTTTGACTTTGTGCAATTTTGTACCATTAGATGGCGATTTCTCTTTAAGGGCAATTGTTGCGCTAAGTTCATTAATTGGGGCGGCATGATTGATGGTAGGAGAAGCGCTGACCGATGCAGCAACAATGTCTGCATCTTTTGATGCTTCCTTTGATATAGCAATTGTTCCTATTGTTGTTGATGATGAGATGACGTTTTGACTAAGCAACTTTTCGGGATCGTTTGTTGTTGCATTGTTGTCCCCTACATCGTTTTCTATTACGCTGTTGCCCAGAACCGTATCGGTTGCCAGCATTTTTGTACTTGGCGTACTTGTACGGCTGTGTATTACTGGTGACGATGAATCTGCTTTCGCTACCGCTATTTCTCCGGCAATGGGTTGCGTTGTATCCGGTGGTGGTGGTGTCGGGGAACCTTCATGATCAAGTCGTTGTCCTAATGCTGAAGAGCTCGGAGATGGTGCTAATGGTTTGTTTGTTTCGTTGTTTTCATTTAAATCATTTTTTGTTTTTGTTTTTTTTTTTTTTTTAATGATATTTTTATATGTTTTTATGTTCGTTGCCAGTCGATTGATTGGTTGCATGTTGTGAATGCGTTTATTTAATTTAATAATTTTATTGTGTATGTGTTGTTATTTATATGGATTTTTTTCGATTTTGTTAGATTTCATTCCACAAAATAAAACAAAAAAAAAAAAAAAAAAAAAAAAAATACAAACAAACGATTAACAAAAAATAAAAATAAAAAATGGGAGGAAAAATAATTTTTTGTTTTTGCTAGGATTCGATAGAAACGACAGAAAGAAAATTTATAACATGCACGCAGGCAAAAAAAAAAAAAAAAAAAACGGAAAAATTTGATTTTGTTCAAGCCAAACTAATTAAACGAAAACACTTTCAACAGAATTTATGTAAAAATATATTTGTTTTGCTTCAGGGTCAAACTTTTATGGCATTGAAAATTTAATAAAAAAAAAAAACAATAAATTCCTTTTTTCATTTAAAATTATTTACAGACTACTACTGTAGGCATTTATATAAAGTTTTATCTTTTCTATAATTAGTATGAATTTAGTTAATTACTTGAAAAGAAAAGTGCTGGTTACGGGAGTAAGTTGCCACAAGAAACCCTGGTAATTTATTTAATAAAATTTATCAAAGATTCACATTTTTCGTTTTTTTTTTTAAATGATTCTATGATTTTTACACTAATCACTTAAGGACTGAGGATGTATTCACGTTTGTAACACCTGGAGGGAAACTTCAATGACTGTATAAAGTATATTGATCCCCGATTAGTACCAAACTAAACATGTCTGTCCGAGTGTTCGTCTATGCAATGCCTAAGGTATACATTCCTCTGGTCACAAAAATACAAATAATGACTTGAAATCGGAAATCAGAAGTTTTTGCGCGCATGCTGGCATTGAAAGCGAGCCATATTAGTCAATAGTCATGTCTAGAACGTAACGTAAGCAGAGAACATCCCCGACTTGTCATCTTTTTCTTTTGCTCAGTACCCGGCCACAGACTACAACAGGCATACAATAAAAATTTCCATATATTTCCACATGTTTACTAGTAAAATGGGAAAGGTAAGCCCCACCCAGCTTATACCGTAAACTATCAAAATTTAGTTTTATTTCGAATATATCATTTTAGTACAGTCGAATATATTATTTCATGAAATGTCGAAATCATCGAATTTAACCGTTGTGTACATTGATAGTTCGTATTACGTTATCAATTTTCACTAATAGATGTCGCTGATCAAAGTGCATGCAAGCGCTTATTCATTTCTTTACTCGTCATAGTTGTAACCTGCTAAAGGATATTTTAAGACTGTGCAGATGCGCATAGCAATCATTTTCGGTATCGATATAAGCTTATCTGTCTATGCATATATATATATATATTTCAATCTACAGGTCGTAATTTTTGTGACATTTTGAAGTAATTCGATAGATTGATCTGATATTGTAATGAAAAATGATTCTGATGAATGAAAGTGGAACAAGTAAACGAAAAGCAAAGTAGAAAGCAAATTTCGTTCATTTACCCGAATTTTTCGGCGACCGAAATGTTAGAAGGTAAGTCGTTGATTAAATTTTCTTTTTCTTTCGATAGCGTATAAGTTTTGCAGATGTTGTGAGCCTCTTAACAAACGGTCCTCAGGGTCCAAATTGTTTAATGGACATGTACTCTACAGTTTGAAACACTCGTTATATGCAAAAAAAAAAAAAAAAAAAAAAACGACGCAATTTTCGAAAGTTTTCGGCAAAAATCGCTAAGCAAATAGTTGCATCTCAGCATATCAAGTTTTTCTGAAGATCTAATTTTTTTTTTTTTTTTTTAAGATCAAAGTTGATCTAGCATTGTGCTTTAATATGTAAATTTACTGCGATAAGTTTGAAGGAAGTAAGCATATTTTTTGGAACACTTTCCATATATCTTATGAAAAATAAGCTTTTACAGGGCAATAATTTTTATCTATAGTTATTGATATTTTATAGATAACACGGACGTTAATGAAAAACTATGCTAGGCGAAGTGGTATACATATATACAATATATATATATATATATATATATACATCTTCGCGTGTTTTTTAGAAAAGATTGTGGGCCGATAATAGTATTTACAGTAGAAAGACCGATAGATAGAGAAGGAAACCTGAGGATATCAAAACTAACCTAGAGGGTATCAAAATTAACCTTAATTTGTAATACTTAATACTCTTGTCTTGGATGGAATGGCCAAAACGATTTCAGAAATAATTAAAAATATTTTTGATTTTTTTAATATAAATTTTCGCGAAATGTTTTGTAAAAATTTTAAAATAAGGAGGCTACTAACGACGTGAAACAGCAATTAACAGTCTAACAATTTTTGGAAATGCCACTTTGAATAAGATTGGCTACCTAGTCACATTTCGCTGTGGATTGCCTTAAGGTATAACTCCAAGTGATTTTTCATAGTTTTACCAAAGAGGCGAACTACAAGTTTCTTTTTGAAAGTATACTTTGCCAGGGGCATGGTCCATGTTCCATGTAAAAATGTTAGCAACCTTTTCAAGGCGACACTACCGGTCTGACACTAAAGTATGGAAAAACTCTTAATTGAGATTTCATCAGAGTGTGAAAGAGTGATTGCATTTTCCTAATCGGGCCAAGAGACGCTCACAAAACACATCTTTATGTATAGGCATGTATGTGAATCTTTGATACTTACATTAGATGTTGTTATTAAATTTATAATTTTTTATTTTTTTTTATTTTCTTGTATTCGTATTACAAATACGATTTTCTTATATTCAAATGGAATGCAATTTTCGTTTACTTCGTCCTCTTCTTAAGTATGGATATGAGTTTTCCAAAACGAACTTTAAAATTGCCAAAAACTAAGAGGGAAAGGGGAATAAATAAAATTTATATATCAAAAAAACCAAAATAAAAAAAAAATAAATAAATAAATAAAAAGAAGTGAAAGGTAAACTATGAAGAAATAAAATAACAGAGCGAAGGACAAAACAAAATGATAATAATAAAAATAATAATAATAATAATAAATTATAAATATTTTTCATATAAAACGCAAATAATTTTTACATAACTTTCTTTACAATTCTACTAATTATTTAATTTACTAAAATTATTACAAATTATTGAAATTATTATGCAATATGACAAAAAAAAAGAAGATATTTTCATATGATTTTTTTTTTTTTTTACAGAGTTTTTGAGCAATTTTAAAATTGATTTAAGAAATTAAAAGAAAATGTAAGAGAAAAAAAAAAAAAATGGAAAACAAAATCAAATTTTTAATGTATTAACCAAAAAAAAAAAAAAACATTTTTTTAAATATTAAATTAAGTATACAAAAAAAAAAAAAAAGTGAAATAAACAAAGGGAAAAATTATTAAATTGAAAACTTTTATAAATAAAACGAACTTTAAGCAAATTTATCAAGAAATTTTGTTTGGGAGAACGTTAGCTTTAAGAAGAGATTATACTTTTCAATGTACTTACGATTGTTGCTGGTGCCATTGGCTGTTATTTGATTTTGGTATTGATTACTATTGGTAATGTTGGCATTATTCAATTGTTTTACTGGCGTTTGTATGGGACCTGTGGTTCCTTTGAGAACGTTCGCTAATCGTTTTAATAACAAAAAAAAAAAAATTGAAAAGAAATTTAGTTTAAAATTTAGTTTTAAATAAAACGAAGAAGAAATCCAAATATTCACTTACATGTTTGCTTTCTAAGCGTATTGGAGCCACGTTGTGATTCGGTAGCCAATTTATCGACAATGGCTTCTAATTCCGAGAATATCTTTTCGTATGAAAATGAGAAAGAGAAATATTTACCGATCAAATAAAAACTAAAAAATTGTAACGAGATAAAAAAATGACAGTCATTACAGGCCTGTGCATGGCGATTAATTATGCGAATATTTCAAGTCTTTACGGCTACGGACGAATTTGAAAGGCTTTCAAACCAAGTCAGATTCAATCTTTTCTGTATATTTGCGGATGTCGCCTCCTTAAAATACTTTCACTTTAAAACCCTCAAAGATCCATTTTTATATACCGTAGCATATATTTATATACCGCATAGAATCCCATAAACTATACATTTTATTTGTCTCTCGATTAGGCTAACATTAGGTTAGTGCAATCGATTAAGCTATTCTTGTCTCGCTATCTCGCTGTTACTATTACGATATCAAAATTTTGTCTGAAAGAACTTATTTGATTCCAAGTTGAAATAATGGTGTGGTAGTTTTGAATATCGCCCCGACATCTGTTCGTAGGATAGGTCACAATTAGTGAAACTACTGCTAAATTTCTTCCTCTTCTCTCTGTTGACAGAACACGCCTAGAGTTAACATAATTTCTTTTTTGTTTCTTTTTCTATACAGAAAGTGGATTAAAGTTACGGCGGGCTAAAAGTGAAAGGCCTGCTAAGATCAACTGCCTTAAAGATATTGTAGGACCCCGCTCAGTGTTTTTGAAATTAATGCAATATATACGATGCCATGTTTTATCTCCTCTTGCCGTCATCTTCTATTCAAAGGGAATTAAAGAAATCGACTTGAGCTCTTCAAATACAGATCATAAGCATGAAAATACGCGTATTTTTCTTTGCCGTCGATTTTAATGGTTTACTCCATTGACGCTAGGACCTTTTACGCTTCGGATTAAAGGGCTTTATCTATTCTTGCTTCTATGCTTTCTGTTACCATCCACCAACAGTAAATTTTAATTACTCCCCTTAATCATGTTTTCCAAAAATGATGGTGTTTTGTCGCATATCGTAACGTTTACTCAAAAAATCTATATTCATCGATATTCATATACTTTGACTTCAAGTTTAAAGAAAATATTATTGCATGATAGGATAGTTTTTAAAGTGTTTTTCCTGGTGACGGTCGTATATCTTCGAATTGTGCTGGACATTTTCTCTCTTTCGGCTAGGACTTAATCCGACAAACGCTCATTCGTTCATGAGCTAAATGAAAGCGACAACTTCCGCCCCACAGTTACTAAGAGAATCCTGCAACTTAGAGAGTCTAAGGCAAGCTGGAATGCGAGAACATTTGGGAAACCTTCGCTCTAGGCAAGGAGAGCCCTATATGCACCTGTAACTATTCAATATCTCTACGAGCAGGGCAACCACAATCAAACCGACACTATACGAAGGGCCTTATCAAGATGTCAAGAAGTCTGTCGACGTCACACTTTTTGAAATCTTGACCCAAGCTGCCCCTTAGTTCACACTATGCCTTGCATTCGGATTATCAATTCGTCATGAATTGCCCTCCAACGGGCAAATATCAACCCAGCAGTGCTAATCTAACTATAATTTCTCTGACGCCGTTAATCACTTGCAAAATTATGTGTAAATGTTGACTCTCGATGGTAGCTGATTGCTTTGTGGAAAAGTCTGCAATCAGACCACTCATCAAGTTGTCGCTGGCAGGTCCTTGTCACCAGAAGAGTGACCGGACCGTTAAACGAATATGATTAAGTAATAATGCGTACTGTACTTTCTTTACGTTACGCTACGTTAGATAAAATTTAAAACATGTTTGCCTGATTAATGTAAAAATGGTTTGATCCCTTAGTTTGTTATGTTTTATAAAACTTGACGTAGGCAGATTGTTTTTCCTAAGAATGCGTTTTGTTTTTTGAGAGCTTTATCTGAGCAATTTCTATCTAGATTTACAGGCTGTTGTTTTCTAATATCCATTACATTTTCTATCTTATCGTAAACGAGCATTAAACGAGCATTTACTTACTTTCGATGTTTCATTATGAAAAACTTGCTCTGTGGCAAAGAGAGTTTGCAAGTTAGTAACCAAAAATAATATTCTTGAGTCGTATAAAGCGGGCAACTCGTCATGCAATTCAGTATTCATTAATTCATAAGTGCGACGAGCTTCCTCCAATTGTTCGCGACCCTTTGTCAATTTGACATCATCTTTACGTTTATTGGCATTAGCCTGTAGATTTTGGAACGAATGACGTTGACCATCATAGTCAATCAGTTTACGATTACGTTTATCGACTTTTTTCTACAAAATAAAGGGAAAATTATTTTGAATTTTAAATGGCATAAATAAATCGTGAAATAAATTATTTCTGACAAAAATACCTTCATTTCTGGAAATTGTCCGGTATAGGTGTTCAATGGTATTAAAACTTGATCGGCTAGTTTGTGTGAAAAGTCTTGCCATAGCGACTCCGAGGCAGACACTTGAGCTTGTAAGGCATCGTAACCGGTCCATTGAGGTTCATAAATTTCGCAAACGGCCTCCATTAAGCTCTTAGAAGCAGCTTGAGCAGCTTTAAGAAACACAAAAGTTTTTTATTTAATTAAAATGTTGACAATAAGGAGTTTGCTTAGCCGGTATTAGAAAAGAAGAAAACTTATAAAGTAAAAAAACTTCTTCTTCAGTTTGTAGCTTCTTAATCAGTGCACCTACGCATGTCCGTCTGTCTGCTCAACTGGGTAGTATCTGTGGTAAACGCTGTCAATATCGTCTATAAAGAGTTTGCAAAAGAGTTTGAAAGTGGCCTAAGCTTTTCAAAGGACACGCCTACAACGCCAACACGCCTATACGGTAAAAACTTTTATTTTGATTGTAGAAAAAAAATCAGCCGCGACCACTTCCTATTATAGAGCTTGAAAATTTCGTTGTTTATTTTTTTAGGATAAGGGTGATGGGCATAATAGATTCGGTCCCGACCGAATTAAATTTTCTTATTTGTTTTTTTTTTTTTTAACAAAGAAAGCAATTATGTGCCCTTTCGACTTTCACTACTTCACTTTTCCAGGATGTGAAGATAAATTCGAGCAAAGACATCTACCATATCTGTTAACAAAACTCTGTAAACGGTTTAACAGAGCTTTGCTAAATATTTAAAATTACGATAAAGTTGGATTTGAAAGCGCACTCCGTCCATATTAAACTACGTAAAAACATTTTTGTCGACATCTCTATGAAAATGCCTTTTAAAAAAACTAAATAAATTCAAATTTTGCTTATGGTAATTATTTTTAACAATTTTTTGAAATTTGGTACGTTAGCGAAAAATGGCTATGGAATAAAACCCAAATTTGGGGCTCTAGTGCGGCCAAACTAAAAAATGTCACCTATATCCATCTATACCACGTGAATATATATAAATGTACCTGTCGAATGAGCAAAAATAGTTAAAACTTTTCTTTCGGGAACTATTTTTAACGATCTTTCGAAATATAGTATGTTAGCGAAAAATGGGTGTGAGTATAATATAGTATAGTATGGCATAGTACTAGTATGGTACAAGTATAATATAGTACTAGTACAGTATACACTAATATAATACACTCTAATATAGCACAATATATTCCAGTAAAAAATACACTATACTGTAGTACAATAAATTTCAATACAAAATACACTATACCGTAGTACACTATACTGTAGTATACTTCCCATACAAAATACTGCAGTATAGTGTATTAACTGCATTAGTGTATTAGTGTATTAAAATTATTGTATTGAAACTTATTGTGTATTTGGTATGGGAAATTATTGTACTCCAGTATAGTGTATTTTGTATGGGATATTATTGTACTACAGTATAGTATATTTTGTATTAGAGTATACTATATTAGTGTATACTGTACTAGTACTATACTATACTCGTACCATACTAGTACTATGCCATACTATACTATATTATACTCACAACCATTTTTCGCTAACATACGATACTTCAAAAGATCCTTAAAAATAGTTCCCGAAAGAAAAGTTTGAACTATTTTTGTTCATTCGACATGTACCTTTATATAGATTCACGTGATGTAGGTGAATATAGGTGTCATCTTCTAGTTTGGCCGCCGAAAATCTCAAATTTGCCCGTTATCCCATATCCATTTTTCGCTAATATACCAAATTTGAAAACATCGTTAAATTTAACTCCCATAGGCAGAATTTGAATTTGTTCGCTTTGTTTGAAAGGTATTTTCATATAGATTCATGAAATATCCACAAAAATATTTTGCTTTTTTCAATATGGACGCAGTAGGCTGTCAAATCCAACTATATCTCAATTGTAATTATTTAACAGAGCTCTGTTAAATAGTTAACAGAGTTTTGTTAACAGAAACGGTAGGTGTCTTTGCTAGTTAAATTCGAATTTATCTTCACACCCTTCACCACTTTTCTTATTTGCAAAAAGGAAAAAAGAAAAACTTATAAAAGGCTGCATACGATATTTAGAGAGAACTTCATAAGTGAATGTGTGATTTTATTGGCGTCGTCGCAAACTATTTTATCTCCAAAATATTTTGGCTTCATGTCGACGTGAGTTTAAACCATGACTTTAATTAATTTAAATCGGGTTTTGACGCCTGCAGAGTTCTAGACAATTTTATCTTCATTTTCGCTGCGAGCTTAAAAAACGAATTCAATGCACATCTGTAGTGAAACATTATTACATCCTAAAAAAAATTATATTCGTTTAAAGTGCAATGTTCTGAGAAGCAAAGGTGTGATGTGAGTCTAAGATCCGAAGGTGTCATTTCCAATAGCTTGGTGGATGTGTTCCTTATATGGTCCTATAAGCCCATCTTCTCCCAGTTTCAATCAAACTTAGTGTATATTAAGTTTGTGTGGATGTGTGGTACATCCAGGAGGACTTGAGACAGACAGAGGGGCTTAAGATAGATCCACCGATCGATGGAGAATATTTTCGGAATCGATCTAAGCTTGTCGGTCCGCCTGTCCGTTGGATATCTGTCAACATAAAACTCGAAATTTTCGAGATATTTCAATGAAATTTGACACTTTGAGGTGCTTTGATCTAAGAACGAACGCTTTTGAAAATGATTCGGATCGGTCCACTTCTTCGACCACTCCCCCTATAAACACCTGACTTTGAAAAGTTTTCAAACGGAAAATAATTGCAATATTGTAAAGGTGCAGACGTGCAAAAATGGATACGATGATTGGACCACTGCTAAACAAATATCGTTCCTTCGACTCGACATAACCGATGTTCTCAGAAAGATAGGAAAAAGTTATAGAAAATTATGGGAAATTTTTCTATTTGATATATATATTGAATTAATTTTTCCTAATAAATGACTTTTTTAAGTTAAAGGATGATCAAAATACATGCAGGCACCTAATAAATAATCAACTATTACCACTTTTCCCACAACCGAATCGATAATCTGTTCTTCGCCGGTAATTGCGAATGCATTTTCCTAATGTTATTTTAGTTTACAAAAAAAAAAAAAAAAAAAAAGGAAAAACGATTTATATACAAAGAAGAAAGGGGAAAGAATTACATACCTCGTATACATCTAATGTAATTATTGAATTCTTTTTGTAATCTATTGGCATTTTGTTGTTGACGATTGAAATTGTTCAAGTGATCATCAAATATTTCATCTGCTGTTCTATCAACTTTACCCAAATTTTGTAAAAGCTGCAAAGAAAATGAAAATCAACAAAGATACAACAAAGATCAAATAATAATCAATACCAAAAAGTAAATAAATGCGAAAAAAAAGAATAATTAATCAGTTCATCATAAAAAATACATAATAGAAATATTCAAGAAAATATTCAATAACTAACTGGGAGACGATTATTTTTCATGTTTTTTTTTATATATAAAAATAAAAAAAATTAAAGCTAAAATATCAAAAAAAATTTATCTTACAATAAATCCTGACAATCATCATAATGATGTTTTGGCACACAAATCTAAACAAAAGCTACAGCAAACAGACAACAAAATAACGACATTTTTATGCATTTGTTACACTTGTTGTGTACGATTTTTTGCTGCTGTGTATTTCTCTGCTTATGTTTTCTTCTTCTTCGTCTTCTTCTTTTTTTTTTGATATTTTTGCTTAAATAAAAAAGCGGAGATGAAAAAAACATATATATAACAGAAAAAAAAAAAATTTCAATTTCCATTTGAGAAGAAGAAAATAACCCAACAACGTTGTTGACTGAATTTTTCTTGTAGCTGTGAAAAAAATCGCAGACAATAGCAGATTGAAAGAGAGACAACAGATATACTATATGTGTACACTTGTGTACTGTATGTGTATAAATGTATATAGTATATCTATCTATCTATATGTCTGTCTTTGAATTTGCTTTGCTATTGTCTGAGTTTTTTTTTTTTTTTTTTCTATTTTTATTGTATCACTGGGCCATTTATACGGAAATTTTCATTTAGTTGGCATTTTTTCGAGAAATTTTTTTTAGTTTAATCTTCTGCATTAAAAATGGAAATAAAATGCCGTTTTATGGCATTTCGAAGATAATCTCTGCAAAGTAAACTAATAGAAAAATAGATTCTCAAGAGGATCTTTCTCTCTCTCTCTAAAGAAATGATTTTGAACAATCAATAACCCACCGTACCATACCATGCCAAGGGTTAATGGTCTGAAAATGTTTAAAAAAAAAGAGAGAAAAACTATATTGAAGAATGTTTTTTGTACTCGGGATAATTTCAGTGATTTTGTCAAATGTTTTTTTATTCATTCATTTATTTGAAATCCTTGGCATTTACGTGATGTTCAAAGGCATTAATTGGGCAAAATATGATCAATGAATACCAATGAATGGTTCCGATTTTCACCTTAGCATATGACGCAATGTAAAGAAGGAAAAAATTGAATTTTATTAATTAATGCAATGGTTGCATTGATGATCGTCGATCATTTATTTATATCAATTAACTTTTTATGACGAGTATATACGTCATTATTCGTTCATCCGTTCTTGCCGGATTTCCTTACAAAAATTTCATCATGATGAATGTGTCTTTGCCATCATAATAATGCAAGTTAGAAAATATTTTTGTCATTTTGTCAAATCATGTCATCTGTGTTTGACGAGTATGTGTCGTTATCGTTAAAAAGGTCGACACAGTATTTTTCCACTTTCTTCTATTGATTCAACTTCTCAGATATCATTTTTACGTGCTTTCTTTCCCATTCCCGAAAACAGAAAGATAAGCTAACTCTTAAGGGTTTGAAGGCCATTTTACTGAAATTACGATTAATTTAGTGATTTCGTGTACGATTTTTGCGAATCTATGAAAATTATTAATAAAGTAGCCCTTTAGTGTAAACATTTTACTGCGTGGAAGGGACAACTCTTGGTTGGTTTCACGTAAAAATCAAAAAGCGACAATTGGTAAAGACGTAACTCTTATTGACTGGACACACAAGTCCACTACCCTGCATACTGCCTATCTTTTTTGCACTTTCCCCGTATGGTCTCTTCTGACTATCACCTTGTTACACGCATAGGAGGAGTCATCCCCTGAGTGATTGGTCGTCATATTAAAAAGAAAAAAAAACTTTACGACCTTTGGTTACATCATATTTCGAATGATTCTTTTACATAGTCTTCGTCTTTTTCAAATGTTTCCATGTTCATCAGTTGTAGCGTTCATAGGCTGATTATGTTGCATATTCAAATTTATGTTGAGAACGGCTTTCTTATATCGCTTTTGGGAATTTAAAATGCTACGAAAGGACGTCGGACAGGCAAACATGATTCACAAATGTTGCTTTGTGCAATATACATACCACGGTTCCCAGTTCTAGATAGTATAACAGAGAAAACTTTTCTAATCTGCGTCGAAGTGGCGATCATAGGCAGATGATACTCCACCACTTCAACCTAATGTTGAATATCTTTTTAAAGCGGATGGAACACTGGTACTTTAATTGGTCCTAAGAAATACTTGAGCACAGGTTTATATACGCTCTGCACAGCTTGTGGTGAAGTTTGTGACGAGTTACAGTTATAGTTAAGCTAGGTTTAGAAAGCAATAAGTAGCAGTAAGTGAGCTATAAATAGACGATACAAACGAAGAGTTATCTGTTGTCAACTCCGATTCGATAAGATTGCAAAAGTCTACCTCTGACTTTGAAACCAAAAGAGCGACTTTCGCTTGAGAGGCCATCTTTTTTCTTTTGAGAGATCCATTGGTTCTTTCTTTTTCGTCTTCTTCTACGGCAATTGACGCGTGCGAACGTGTCGCGACAATTGCTTTTCCTCATGAGTTGCAGACAAATCAACATTAACTCTTGAAATCTAATTAAATCTGAAAGCTAATCTTAATAAGTCTTCATCGTTATTAAGGGTGTGAAGTTATATTTAAGTATAACTAGCAAAGACACAAACTAAAATTTTTTACAGAGCTCTGTAAAGCCGTTAACAGAATTCTGTTAAACGAAGTCTCGGAGGGATTTAGCTCAAAATACAAGTAAAATAGAACTTTTCGCAAATTTCTTTGCAAACTCTTATAAACAAAACATGACTTTATGTAAATTAACTAATATTCGAAACCAAAACTTTTTTACACTATGCCATAAATGGGGTTGATAAAGCGAAAGTTTACGGAGCTACTGTGACCAAACCATGAACTAGCACAGAGTGAATCCTCTATTAATAGCCTTTCCAACGGTGTGCGGGTTGTATTAAGTTTTGCCCTAAGAATTTTTTTATGGGACTTTGAAAATTTCCACACTTAACATAATGCGGGCTAACATATAAGCAAACTTTGAAATGTCGCTGTGGGCAAACCATGCCCTTTGAAAAAATGAAACTAGGATAGAATGAATCCTCTATTAATGGCCTTTCCAACGGTGTGCAGGTTATATTAAGTTTTGCCCAAAGAGCTTCTTTATGGGACTTTGAAAATTTCCACACTTAACATAATGCGGACTATTATGAAAGTAAAATAAAAGTATCACGAGTATATAATATATATCATTACTAAATTTTATTATATATATTAGCATATGACATATATTAAGTATGTAAGAAATATAACAAATCCATTTTATTATAAAAGATATATTAAGAAAAAAGTATACAACTATAAAATAAAAAACTATAAAAAAAAAAATACAAAAGTATCATGAAGGTAAGTAAATGAATAATGAGAGGACGTTTTAATTAACTGTTGCATATTATTATTTTTTATTACTATTATTTTAATTTTAGACTAATGAATTGAATTCTTAGACTAAAAAAAAAGACATTGAGCACTAGCAACACAGGCTATCGGCATAAAATGCAAAAGTCATTCCATTCCTCGTAGTGATGTAAGCCATTGTAAGCAAACAATTCGATAACATTTGCTACACTGTTTTTCTATTTCATTAATTTTATAACAGTGAAGACAGTTGTAAGTTAGATCCTCACTATATTGTAAAATTTTTAGCTTCATCTGTTTTCTATAATCAGACGGACGTGTTAAGTGTACTAAGGGCTCTTTTTTTGCAATTCTTTCCAAAAACTGGCAAACGAAAACACCGCAATTCGTATTATCTTTGTTTATATATTGCAAATCATGCACTTCTGTTTTCGCAGTCCATACATCACTATTATTGTGTATGGCTGTAAACTTTTGGAATAATTGTGACAGAATTGCTTCTTCGTTTCCAATGGGATCAACGTAAGTGAACGTGTTGGAAGCGTTATTTATATAGACGAACGTGAAATGTCTATTGTGAAGGATGGGCACGATAATTATTTTGTAATGAAACAAATACTTCTTTTAACTTTTCGTTGATGTGAATACTATCTCCGAAAAATAGCAAATCTCCTTCTTGGCAGCTCAAACAGTATATATTATTGATTTGTTGTTCGTATATAACAATGTGTACGTATAACTCCAATACATTGTTATATTCCATGTACATTAAAAAGGGTGTAGTACTATGGGAGTATATTTTCTCAAAGATATAGTGATATTTCCCTACAATTATTTTTTTGGACTTAACGGACCTAGTTATTTTAGAGAAGCAATCATCTGTCACATACCGTTTAAAAAGTTTCTGCGATAACATAATTTGTGCATGTTTTGTATTTTTGTGCTTCTTGGGAGTATGCCTCCACTTTACTTCAACTAGCACATCTTTATTTTTCGGTTGTGTTCCGTAATAAACTTTTCTTTCAACATATTGGGACTTTATTTCCTGGGTTTTCGCTGTTATGTTCTTATACGATTCCCTCACGGTGGGTCTTATGTTTCTTTGACCATCTAAGTTTATGTTTTTAACAATGGAAAATAGCCTTCCACTGGACTATTTGAAGCAGGCTTGTCACTATCTATATGTACACCCATTGTATTGGTCCATAAAGGAGCGTAAGCTATATATTTTTTTAATAGCAAATCTACGAATTTTGAGTTATAAAACCGGTTGGTTTTAATTTTTCGTAATCGACTATCATCTATTTTGCTTTTTATATGGGTGTACATTAACCTGTCTTTCTTTTAAAAATGGCTTTTGGAAAATAGTGATTGTTTCACTTCAAAATTATTACAGGTGCTTTTATTGATGTTATAAGATTTGTCTATATCTTCATCACAGTCCAATGGAAGGTTTTTTCGCAAAAAACTTAGATGGCGTTCTGTCAACTTATTTTCGTATTTACTGGAGAGTATCGGTAAAA